AAATCAGCTGTTCCTCATATTTAAAAAGGGGAAACGAAACTGTAACCAGGTAACATGCTAGCTCTCTGTTTCTGTTGTAACTCTAGTTGCTGACTTGCTGACTTTGTAGCTATACGAGAACAAAGAAAAGAAGTGGAGGAGAGCTGGAAAGAAAATAAAGGTGTCTGTCTAGACACCTGCAGAGGTCTCAGGCGCCCTCATCAACATGACAGATTTCACTCTCCTCCATGGATGACATTGCCCCATTCTGCAACCCAGCATGATGAAGGGCATAGAAACAATCAGAATCTGCAAACACAAATCCTCCACGTTATTGGATTCTTTATCAGTCGACTGCATGTTTTCTGCTTGATTCAAACAGCTTTTATGGTTCCTTTGTTGTCGCTGATGTTATCCGTCACACTGTTATTTCTGTATCTGTCTGTATTATATGCTTCTTTTTCATTTGTTCTATGAATCATTCTGCAAGCTGTTAGCATGTCTTCCTCCAAATTCCCTTACAAGAGGCCTTTTAAGCTTCTGCCAAACCGTCAATATAAAGACAAATCTGCTCTTAATTGACTTCAAGCTCATTTCCTATTCTTCTTTTATTTGAACCAAGTCAACCAGTGTGATTCCAAATAATGACACAGTTTAAACACACATTTGCAGGTTACAATGTGCACAGCGGAGCTTGGAGATCAGATCTGGGGAAATAAATGGTCTTGTGTCTGAATAGAGACCCATAAATAGAGACGCATACAGAGGGCATAGCACTAGAGACAGAGAGTAAGAGACGGATAAAAAGAAATAAAGATTTACAGAATCTGGTAAGAAATGCTCAGACAGAAAGAAGTGTCTGGATATTCTGACTGCTACATCCTAATGTCCTAATTGGCCCACTGGAGGATTGAGCCATAGAAACAATTGTAACAAGATAATGATCAGTAGTTCCAATATTTGACTATCATTAAAAAATGTTTGTATATGACATTTACAAAGGAAAAAAAAAACTTTAGTTGTACAGAAGCATTTTCAGGAAAATAACTGCTAGGAGTAGAGGACAAGCTCTGTAATTACATCTAAAAATAACAACGTATGATTAATGACCACTTAGCTTATGAGTACGTAGAGCCAGAGCTAATGTGCTCAGCTCTGCTTTACAGGCAGGCAGGTGGAGACCGCTCACTTTACCCACTGTTGGGATTGAGGCTCTCAGACACAACTGATGAAACCTCAGAAGAGTGGCACACTGAAGAGCCTTCCACTCACAGCCTTCTATTGTAGTTATTAGACTGATGACGGGCAACTAAAATCAGTGCTGCTCTCACCTGGTCACATACAGAGACTGATGGAGGAAGAAAAACTGATTTAAGAGTGTGTGCTTAAGTACAATTTCCATTTTAGCCTTCTTCAAACGTCACTACATTTCTGAGGTAAAGGTACTTTTTACTTCACTATGTATTTGGCTTGTTTAGTTACATTATAGAATATGTTATAATACAATACATGATACTATATAATACTTTGAGCTACCCAGCAGTGTTTAAAGTCATTGAAATTAGCTTCACTTTTAGCAGTTCCAACATTAAAGTGATGAAGCCTATTATTTTTAAAACAAATTTTAATCCTGCAGGTACTTTTACTTCTGGTACTTTAATGATAAGTGGAAAGGAAGGTACTTTGATGATTTAGTACTTTTGATTTGTGCAATTTTAAATGCAGGAACTTTTTAATAGATGATGTTTCAACAGAGGCTGTGGTACTTTAACTAAAGTAAAAGCTCTGAGGAATTATTCCGGTCTTTTTCAGCCTCTGTTCATTCATTCATTTAAGCCCGGGTTTTATTCCATCTGGTGTCTCATTCAAAACAATACAATCACATGCAATCACAGCCTCAATTGCTATCTACAGATTGAAAGAGGTCTTGATGGAAGAGCATCAAGGAAGATCGGAATAAGGACCGCTTCTAATACAAGGGAAGATGGAAAGAGGGGAAGAATATGCACATAGAGGAAAAAGAAAAGAGGCTGATACAATTGAGCAACGCAGGATGATGAGGACAGCTGAGGACACACACACACACACACACACACACACACACACACACACACACACACACACACACACACACACACACACACGGCGACTCGGAGGTATATTAAACTGGGGGCCATTAGTTCTAAGCCTGTGGCCTGAGGCCATGCTGTGCAAAATAGAGCCAGCTTTCATTAGCGATGCTGGGTTCAGGGCCGCTCTGACACATAGTTGCTCTTGTTGCTCTTTTGAAGTTTTCATTTGACAAGAAAAGTATGATCTGCAGTAAGGCAACCTTAAAGGGACAAGGGCAGAGATGAGCTCATCAAAAAATACTTTTTATTGTATATACTGTTTAGGTGCTCATCAGCTTTCAACGAAGACCACCTGAGCATTAAACAGCAACTGTGCCCTGATGTGGAGACGCTCCGTCTGAGGGCTTTATGAGCGTAAAACAGCCAGGAGGTTCCGGCTCAGTGCTACAGCATCTTTAAGCTTATGCTAATGAATTCTCATAAGTGTCTTTATGAACCTGGTATTACAGTAGAACACAGAGGCAGAGCAGTGGCTGCCCTTGGAAGGCAGTATTCCATACAGTACACATCTCTATGACCTTTATGAAACATAATTAGGTTTATAAAATACACTGAAATGAATCTGGGGGAAGGCTGCATGAGCGCCTTTTAGGAAGGAAAAGGATCCTAAATCTCATCACTGACTCAGGCTACCTTCAGGCGCTGCTTTCTTTCAGCAAACGCAGGAGGAGCACTGTCACATAAATGACACAAAATCTTTTTTTTTTTTTTTTTGCCTCTTTGTTATAATTATTATTGTAAAAAAAAGATTTCTGACATGTTCAATAAATTGACTAATAAAATAAATAATAGAGCATAAATATTTTTGTTTATTTGTGTTTCCAATCAGTTGTTCATACTTTCTTTTTAAGAATAGTGCTATCACAACTAGCATTTTGGACAAACCTTTCACCTTTTAAAGGTTAACACATATAGTGTTTAATATACTGTAGTCAAGGTTACATCTTTGGATGACCATATTCCTTCAATCCATGTTTATATATGTTATCATCTACTGGGTCCAGCTTAACTCTAAGGCAATATCAAAAATACTCCACCAAAACCCAGAATACTCACTCTGGTTAATTGATCGTGTTGGCAGGATTTCAGTTGTATTTCACTCGTAGAAATCCAGGCTGCTGTTCAGAGCTGACTGACCCAGGTCACATGCATTTAACAAAGAGGAAATGTGAGGGGAAGATATCTCCCTCCAGGTTTGACATGTGCACGACCCCCAGATGCAACTTTGTTTTGGAAAAGGCTTCTCTCAACCGCCCGCAGAAAGCATAAGTGAGGATAGGTCTGAATGAATACTGAGGTGTTTCGCAGTGAAGCATTATATCAACATCCTCGCCACTTAAATCTGAACCTGAAGATGAACTGCAAAGATTGTTGGCTTGAGTATAGTCCCGCTGCAACAAAGCCTGCGAGCTGCTTCAGGCAGACACGTCCAAAGCGATGCGATGTTGGAGTCCATTAAGCTATCAATGCCCTGCCCACTCTTTTGCTTTGCTGAGGGAATGGGCAAACATTATTATGTGAGAACAGGCGGTCAGAGGAGGAGGGGGG